CAGCTGTAGTTAGCCCATCTGCCTCAGTATCCCTTACTGAAGGTTTTCCACTGAAAATGCACGCATTTCTCAAAGTCATGATAAGTTTATGGCTGATCCTGTTCCTGATCGTGATTGCAATAAATATGTAACGCGGCAGCTCTTCTAACAAGTCTTTTGACTGAACCTTGTGTTTGTGCGAGACTTATAATTGTATTGCATTGTATTGTGCTGTGTTGTATAGTCTGGACTGAACTTTGTGCGAGATAAATTGTATTCTGTATAACTCCCCGGGCCCGGGTGCCCCGGGAGACGTTAAGGAAGGGAAAAGGATACTTTAGGGACGTGGGCGGGGGTGAATGGTTTCACAAGGTGAAACGGGCGCCCGAGGTGCGCGCACTCCCCTCCGCGTTGCGGCAAAGGGGAGCGGGAGCGCGCTGGCTTTCAATGTTGCTGCTGTTGTTGCTGTTGTCGCTGTTGTTGCTGTCGTTGCTGTTGTTGCTGTTGTTGCTGTTGTCGCTGTTGTTGCTGTCGTTGTTGCTCTTGTTGTTCTTGTTGTTCTTGCTGTTGTTGTTCTTGCTGTTGTTGTTCTTGTTGTTCTTGCTGTTCTTGCTGTTGTTGTCCTTGCTGTTGTTGCTGTTCTTGTTCTTCCTCAAGGCCATCTGCTGCCCACATAGAAGGCCTTCAGTGTTTACTTTAAAGGCGCCTTAAGGGTCCTTTAGTGTTTACATTAAAGGCGCTTTAAGGGTCCTTTAGTGTTCACATTAAAGGCGCCCTAAGGGTCCTTTAGTGTTTACATTAAAGGCGCTTTAAGGGTCCTTTAGTGTTCACATTAAAGGAGAGGGGAGTCCTTTAGCATTCACATTAAAGGCGTCTCAGGGGTCCTTTAGTGTTCACATTAAAGGCGAAGAGTGTTCGGGGATTTTTAATAGTATTTAAATAGAGTATTTTATTGTATCGTATTCGTTTTCATCTTCCTTCTCTCACCTTGTGGCCACCACCTTCTAACGTTCGCGAAGAAGACGAACCTGAAGAGACCCCCGAGGAAGAATACATTCGCAAGTTCGGCCCACCCCCTGACGACACTGAGAGGAAACAATTTAACCGCATCGTTAGAGAGTTTTCACGGCAGATCACTCAGAGTTAAGGCTACCAAGTAAAGGCATCCTCAGGAGCATCATGATTCTACCTGCTTGCTTGGCCCTTTATTGTTTTCCTACTTGTTGAAAAGGAAGAACAAGCCCTGAGGACCCAGGAAGATCTCGTCAGGGAAGATGCAGCGACGCGGTTCTTGTAGCTCCTCTAACAGAAGCGAGAACTTTCCTACACTAGTAAGAACATCTTTGATCCTCAGTGGGGTATTCACGATCCTCAGGCTGTGTGTGGCGAAGCGCGAATAGCCAGAAAGGCCTGGTTTATTGACAGCGAGGGTTTGAAGCTTCCCAAAGTCCGTCAGAAGTGGTACTTTCGCGGTGGCCCAATGCTGAAAGATGCAGTGGTGGCGAAAAAGCGCAAGGAGATCATGGACCAGAGACGAAAAGAGGCTGAAGCGAGAAGGGCAATGATACTGAAGTCGAGAAATCCGAATAGGTTTGTGTCGACCAGACGGAGACAGCCATTGTACTATCCGGAGGGAGAAGAGGAAGATGGAGAAGAAGATGGAGAGGAAGATGGAGAGGAAGACGGAGAGAAATTATGGTCAGCTTTTTCCATTGATTATTCTCGGCATCTTGGGTCCTTTTTTCCTTGTATTCTCGTGAAATACAAGGTATGAGGGGTCAAGAGGAGGGGGCCGAGATGCAATCTAGCAGACTCCAAAGGAAGACGGGAAGAAAGATGACGCTGGTGTTGCTGGTCACGACAATGAAGATGCTTTGATGTGCTTAGAGGACGTTGCATCAGAGGGGTCAGGTATTCTGGAGCAAGCAGTTTCGGGCTTACTATTTTATCCCGAGAACGAATCTGGTGGTGATCTAGGAGGGAATGGCTTACTATTTTATCCCGAGAACGAATCTGGTGGTGATCCAGTAGCCAATACAACCGGTACAAGTACAGCATCTCCGACTGCAGAAGGAGGTGGAGTGGTCCATCTCGCTGCAACAACACCAACGATTGCGCTTGTTCCACCACCCAGAAAGGGGGCGTCTCCTCGACCAGGATCGTCTTCAGGAGCAGCCGCTGGACAAGAACAGCCTGCTCAGCCAGGAGAAGAATCCGCATCACCAACAAATGCTGCAGCGGCCACTGGCGCATCGTCCCCATCTCATACGTCAGGCTCAGCAACCAAAACTACTAGTACGGTTCAAAAAGTAAAGAAGAAGATCAATATGATGAGCGCACTTGGTCGAAAAAAGAAGGCAGCAGCGGAGAAAGAGAAGCCACCTGAAATCCCGATCGACTTAGCAGCAGACTATCTGAAAGAAGATGCTTACTACTTCTTAGAGCCAGAGACTGTGATTCTCCAACGACCAGCATTGTCAGGTGGTGGAAAGAGCAAGAGGAGACGGAGTGGTAGTGCAAAGGCTCCTGCAACTGCAAGAGGTGCTTCCTCACCCGACGCAGGTTTCAAGCCCTCGCTTCCCCATGCCAGACCGGCGTTTGTAGAAGTGGTTGGTCGACTAAGACAAGAACTTATTCCACCAGAGCTGCCACCGCGAACTCCTTCTACACCATCCACACCTTTGGCCTCCCAGCCTGGGGGGCCAGGCGCTCGCGCAAGGTTCGCATGGGAAATGGACGCTTCAGCCGCGATGGCAATCACCAAAATAGATAGGGCGGAAGCAGAAGAAGATTAAGGCTTCAAGAAAACCATCTTGTTAGCCACTATGACTATCTTCGGGTTGCCCGTTTCTTTGTTTCCTAAGGGGAATTGGGCAGCAAGATGCTCCACCAGATGGATTCCTTCTAGCTTTAAGAAGAAGAAGCGAAATTGTTAGGATTGGATGTGCCTGAAAGATCTGGTAGTACAGGAGGCGATGGTGAAAACCAAGAAAAAGCAGAAGCGCAAGCTGCTTCTACCGCAAAGTCGGAAGAAGCTATCCAAGAAGCTAGGAGAAAGCTGATTCTGGAGGAAGCTGCAGCCAAGCGTAAAGCGGAAGAAGAAGCTGCTGCTCTTGCTGCGGAAGCAGAAAAAGATGAAAAGATAGAGAAGTACCAATATTCGTTATGGAGGCCCATGAGAATCCTGAGTATTTTTTGTCATTGTCTTTGCTTCCTTCTACTTGCATGCTCGGCTACTTATAATATGTACAAAAGAATGATATGCATTATTATTGTGACGAGCGCTAAATTCGATCACTCTGAAAGCTCGTAGACGAACACAGTGGAGATTTCCATATGCCAGGGAAATTTCTTACTTGTGGGAACGGCCGTTGGCGAAGAGAAAGGGCGAACCGGCTCCGAGAAGGCGGACGGTTAGAGAACTCCGAGAAAACATCTACGATAACGGGATACGACATTTGCTTGGCGTCTCAGCACAGCCTATAGGAAATTTGTGGTTGACAGTTGACGGGAATACCAAATTCGAATTACGTGACGATCACGAGAAGTTCTTCACGAACCGGAAGCATGATCATTTTATGATGCAATGGGTGGTGACTTAGTCAAAGTCAGTGTCAGGGTATCACTAAAAATTTTGATGCTAGTACAACAATCTTCTACAATTATCCGATGTAGGTGTAGATCATCAGCTAAAAGATACAACTTCTTGTTACAGTACAACTAGATCTAGAACAATTAGTAATCCTTTTTCGTTTTCGCTCCTTCATACACCTCCGCAAGGGCAAGGAGCCGGGACGCAACTACAAGAAAAGCAAGTGGAAATACTCGAAGCCGAGGACATTTTGTATTGAAGACGGCGAGGGTGCCAGTGCGATGAACACTGCTTACCTGAGACGTTGTCTTGTCGTGGACTCCGATGAAGAAGAAAAACCCCACAACCTCGAAGCTGACATCGAGGCACTCAAGGTGCAATTGAGCGGTGGCAAACCAATACCCAAACGTGGCCAGCAGAAGCCCAAAGACGACAGCGACGCAAGTTCGAAAGCTCTGTCTCTAAATTAAGGGTCCGTCGTAAAGGAAATTACGCACCATCCCCAAAGTCATCTGGAAGAAAAAAGTATTTATTTAAAAAGAAAAAAAACTACATTCAGATGAAGATGACTACTGAGAAGATGCATGCTCTACGCCCCCTCTAACACAGAGACTTCTCCGACGATTCCGATTCGGAACCTGAAGCTCCCAGAACAATCTGCGAGTTCTACTTCCGCTGCATTCCGAAGTTGAAAGAAGGGGAAGAACTGCGGGAAAATTTTGTAGGTCCCTGCTGTGTGGAGAATCTGAGTGGTACGAGCTGGCGTTCATGGTGGGAGAAGCGAATGCTTCCACCACAGAACGACTTTGAAGCTTAAGACATGCACACATAAGTTGTCCACAAAGCCATGTACTTGATCCCGTTTTAGTTTGACGGGAAAACGTAAAACGGGGGCCAAGATTTTTTTGGGGATGGATTTCTTGTTGGTCGAAGAAGTGCAGCTGGCCAAAATAAAAAGAGAGTCTCCATGGGAAATGGTGAGGGATTGCGCGCGGAGAAGAGGAGCTTGGAGGCACTGGAGTTTGCAGTTGTTGGGGTTGATATGGGAGTTGATCATTCAGTGTATAACGTTTGAATGACGAATAGAGAGGTTCCATGACATGACATGACTCGCTATTGGTATCGCCACTAGGAGCATCAAGGTCACAATCGTCGATGAGTACTTCTGCTCCTCTCACCCTCTTCCCCCACCAGCCTTCCACTACCGCGGCTGCATCCTCTTCCCATATTACCTCTGCTCTCCCGGATCCTAGATCTTCCCATATTACCTCCTCTCTCCTCTTCCTGTACCTGTACCTGCTCTCCCGGAGGTCCTTCATCCTACGAATCTTCCCGAAGCGGCAGTGGCGCATCTCTCTCCGGCTTCCACGCGACTCAAGGAGCTGGGAGTAGCACAACAGCTGCATTCCTCAAGATAGCTGGCATGCGGATGCAGATTAGGGCTCAACCTTTAGTCAGCAAGTCTAAGTGGTGGAAGCGCCTTGTCGAACAAATGCACGCACGCATTGCCCAGATGGACGAGAGACTCCTGCCCACAGATGCTGTTCTTGCAGCAAAGAACCAGGTTGATGCGAGTTCTGAAGCTGCTGCTGACGCAAGCGGAGAGGTACTAGAGAACAGGCCAGTACTTCTAGGTCAACAAGATGAGCTACAAGAGATAGAGAACGAAAATCTTCTAAAGACCGAACAAGAGCTCTCAGCGGATCAAGCTCAAGGTGATCACGGGAAGAACGATGATAACCGCCAAAATTCCGACCAAGAGGACGATGAGAAATCCACCTCCTCTGACTCATCTACTTCATCGGAACCTATCAGCTTAGGCAGTAGGGCTTCTTCAGTAGCATCTAGTAGGGCCACCAGTCGGCCTTCGTCAGCTGGAAGCCACAAAAGCTCGGGGTCTAAGGCTTCGTCTGGTAAATCAAAGAAGTCGAAGAATCCAAGAGGCAGGTCGTCAAACAGGTCGTCTGGGAAGTCCTCGGTTGCGTCTAGTTATGGTAGAACTTGGATCTTCGTACTTAAACTTGCACTTGATGAGTCTTCTTCACCTTGTTCAACATAAGTACATTACAGAAGTAGTCTTGCATGCTTCATCATGTTGTTCTTGTCTCTATTTATTCTCTACTCCACAGCATCAACAGCAAGCTCCTGTCCCGCCTCCACAGCAAATAACAGGGACTACGACCACCACGGACAATTTCTTCCCTTATACTATCTCTAAGGCCCCGGGCGCTTTGCAGGAGATGAGAACGCAGGAGCCAAAAAAGCCGCTCAACAGGAGCACCTTCTCGCTTCTCATCCGGTTTTAGCGTCAGCCTTCCTTCCACCTACGAGATTTCAAGGGAATTTCGCTATGCCCGAAATGGATGAAGATTTGGTGGAGGCAGACGAGGCGCCTGAAGGTGAAGGAAATCCTTTTGGTGGTAGTGCTGTTCGTGTTAAGGGATTGAGGGTTCTTCCCACATTAGATAATTAGAATCCCTCGTCACTATGTATTTCTTGAACTATCGTCCCTGAGGACTCTTTTTCGGATTGAGGGTTCCCACATTAGATAATTAGAGTTACATCCGCCCACATTAGATAATTAGAATTACATCCCTCGCCACTATGTATTTGTATCGTCCCTGTCAGGGCTGAGGACTCTTTTTCCTGTAGGAAATAATGAGTCTTTCCTGTAGGACGATACAATGAGTCAGGTGGGATGTAGAAGTTCAGAGGAATGGAATTCCGTAACGAGGAGGACCTCTAATGGTGGTAGTGGAGGTGGTTTAGATCCAGGAGGTGGAGGCATGATGGGTGACAACGATCAAGACTTAGTAGATCCTCGAGAGGATTTTTCTTTCTCTCCAGGTGGTGGAGGTTCTGCTCTAGAAGCCGCAGCTGGCAGCTTAGCGGAAGCTGCGGGAGGTGGGAAGAACAAAAAGAGTGACAGGCCTTGGGTCTACACAGATGAGGAAAAATTGCTCACGCACACAATGCCGATTTCTGTTTCGCATTGTACCAAGTATCAAAAGCTCGACCCAAGGATCCTAGAACCCGAAGGGCTACTGGAGGAAACGGTAGAAAACGAGGAGACTGGCACAAAGATGGTGGCTACACAGTTGTCTGGTGCCTTGTTTGCGAAGAATTTGAGGTACTTTGTTTGGCCGATGCAAACTATCCCGAAGATGTCGAGGAAACGGCAAGCGTTGAAAAGTCCGGTCTACTTAGATTATGGTAATGATAATTCATCTTTGAGTACTTCTAGAGCGTCCCTGAAAAATATGAAAAAAATAAAAAAAAAAGTATGAATCATGTGAGTTTATTTCTCATCATGATAGTACGACTCAAGGATGCAATTGCAAATCAAGGATGATTGAGATCGGACAGCCCTAATTAGATGCGTCAGGAAAGAGACGATACTTCACTCTGGCGAAACCCGAGGCGGACATTTTCCGAGATCGGCCTGCTTATAGAGCTGAACTAGAGTATGGAGCCAAAATCTCTTATCATTATATATCATTTTTATCACTCTTTTCCACTTGAGAAAGAGAATCTCTTTCTCAAGTGGAAAAGAGTGATTATGGAAATGATAATGGGTCGTTTTGCTACTTTGATATAGAGCCCTGTTTTCCGATTTACTACCTAAACAACGCACTGCGGATCCAACAAGGAGTAAACGAAGGAGCTAAGAAGTGGAAGCTCAGTATTGAGAAGAGGGAAAAGAAGATGAAAAGAGCTGCGAGGAAGAGAAGCCTCGTGCTCAAGAACTCGTCTGGAGAAAATGTACTTGGTGAAGATACAACAGGAACAGCTGTTGTTGTTCCTGAACAAGTGCATCAAATGATTGACGAAGAACAAGAAGATCCCTTAGCTCTAGCTCTCGGGAACGACAAGAATGTCGACTTGACTCCTGCGGAAGAGCTAGATGTCTGGCGAGACATCTTTGCTGCGAGAGCAAGAGAAGCGATTGGAAAGAAGCGAGCTGAGAAAATTCAAGAACAGGCTGCTGCTGCTGCTGCTGCTGCTGCAGGTGTTTCGTCTCCATGCAATGGAGGCACAACATCAAAAAATCCGTCCTCCCCAAGAACGAGTTTCAGCACGCCTATGGGAGACATGCCAGTAGTGACATGCTCATGTTTTCGAGGTTTCAGCCTGGAGCAGAGCTGCTTTAGGAGCCTTTGGTCCTTCATCGAGGAACCTCTGGATGAAGCCAGTGGTTTGCTTGGCGAGGTGTTGATGGTGGCTTTAGATTTGTTTAGAGCAGTGGCGGAGGAAGTGGAACAATATGGGAGAACATCTTCAAAATCAGCACGTGGAGGTGCTATCGAACAAACATCGGATGATGCCGCTGACGGCAAGGTAGGAGGTGGTAATTTTTCAGGAGATAATGATGAAGACGACGACGAGGATGAAAAAGACAACCAGAGTAGCACTACAGTGGGGGATAGTAAGGTGGCGGATACTACAACAAGTGGAGCCACCAGTGATGCCGGTGAACAAACGAACAAGCCTAAAATTGTTGCTGCTATGTCTCCTTCAGCTGGACGTGGTGGAACAGGAAAGAGTAAGAAAACCAATGCCAGCACCTCCAATGCCAGCACCTCGGTTGGTTGCTCTAAGAATGACAAAAAGCCATCCCGCAATGCCTCTTCTGCCTTGAATCATTTCGGCTATGGCTCAGGCGGTGACCAGTTGCACTACCTTACAAGCGCGGTCAGAACGTCCATAGGAGTAAATAAACAAATGCTGTTGTCCCTGACGCAGGCAGAACAGCAGGAGGAATTGGCGGGTGAACTCGCTGCAGCTTTGAGAAAGATAGCGAGAAGAAGAGGTGAAAGTCGGAGTAGACGCAACAGGGATTTGGGATTCGCGGCGACAAGTAGTACGAAGGCCCTGATAGAAGTGTTGGAGACCCAATTGGCGCTGATTGGAGACGATGGGGACGAGAATGCTGGGAGTAGTTATGCTTCGATGAGAACATGCAATAGCCCACCCCACAAAATATGGCAGCCCCTATACCTCAAGACTAGGTAAATCAATCAATCAATCAAAATTCCTCGCACACCGATAATATCGCATTTCCCACTTTTTACCTCTCTTAAGTTAGTACCCTGCTCTAATAGAAATACCCAATGGCCATCACCCAGTATCTTTCTGCCGACACATGGCAGCGTCTGGTTTTCGTTTTCCAGACTGCTTTGCAGGATGATGACGCTCCCACCGATATTTGCATCGACTACTCAGGAACGAGTGCGGGGAGTGCAGCATATCCAACATATATGTTGAATTACTACAACGCTCTTGCGAGGGGACCACAACAACAACTCCTGCAAGTAGCCCAGGTTGCTGGAACGGTCTTATCTTCGCAAGATACTACAACAAGTAAAGGTACTAACACGTCGAAGAAGGAACTACAGGGAACTACAGCAGGCAAAAGTTCTACACCTTCATCAATTTCCAAGAAGACCACCACCACGACCCCCACTTCAGCGTCAACATCCAGTGCAAGCGCAAATAATCCTGCTCGAGGACGTCTCCCTCCGACGACTAGTACACAATCCGCCTTACTCCCACGACCCACCTACATCAACGGGGGTTCAACTCGCAATGTCGATATGGCAGAGGATCATGGGGACCTGCTGGCATTAAGGCTTCTCTCTGTAATGGACCATCTTTAGGTGGATGCTGCATCCTGAAGACGCTTGCTTCTCTTTTGGAGAAGGCACCCTCCAAAAGAGATGTCTTGAGATGGAAGATTAGGGTGAGCTCTACTAATTATATCTCGTCTACTGGTGGATTTTGATTTTGCTGATTGTATGATGCCACGACTGCTCATTGAGAACTTCGAAGATGTATCGGGGAATGTCGTTCCTAAGTAAGAAGGGACGAAAGGCGGAACGACATTCCATTAACGACATTCTCAATGAGTGGAAGCATTCACTGACCCTTCTGGACGTATGGGAATGCCTGCCTTATCAGGCAGGGGCACAACTTCAACTGCCAGCACCACTGCGCCCATCGAGGTCCGTGAATATCTCAAGGTCGTCAAGGCATTGATCGAGGCTTTCGGAAAGTCGAAAATGGTACGAAAAATGAAAGAGATCACGCTGTTAGTGCGGGCGCGTGGGAGAGCAGCACTGTATCCGCCGAAGCCAGTGCTTGTCGTGCAGAAGTCTAAAAGTGGTGGGGCAGCAGGAGCTATGTCGGCGATGAAAGGGCGATTCTAAGGAGGGAGGTCTAAATGTAAAGCGTAAAGGTATTTTAGGAATGAGTTAGCAGTTGTGCTTTTGCTGAGAAAAACCACAATATATTAAACTTAATTCTTGGGACTTACACTCAACTTTAACTTGTTTTCACATCGACCAGTTGTATGCAGTATTCTAATAGTGAAGTTGTACAGATCATTCCGATTCCGGCAAATGCAAAGATAGTTGAAAAGACAGAAACTTGTTCTGATCCAAAAATTGAAAAGCTCAAGCGTCCAAGATCGACCGGGATTGATGTAGATGTCCCTCACAGCAATAGATTCTTGAATAGAAAGAAAACTTAAAGGAAAGACATGAACTTAGGTTCTTTGGGAAGCAAAAATCGAGGGGGAAGTAGCAGTGAACAAGAATTGAGAGAACGGAAAAGGATCAGAGCGTAAAAGGATCAAAAGGAATAAAATCAATGCTTTGAATCAGAATCGTATAGAAGAAGACTAGGAATAGAGCATGAAATAGGAAGTGCGAAATTAGGGGTTCACGAACGTATCGGTCACCACATGCAGCTCTCGCATGCTTCGGCTCATTTGATGGCATATCTAGCCAATACGCTCACTCCGTCACAAGTGAGCCCACTCCTATCCTATCCTAAGATCGACGAGGGCGGGCCGAGTTCGATCATTAGAATAAAAATCTGAATGTGGTGGATCGCGATCGGCTACTGCGCAACGAACAAAGATGAATACTTGTGGATGACAGATCACAGAACCAGCACCAGAGCGAGATGACTAAAAATAGGACTTCTTGCAAGAATTCAGTAAGAGCATTGGGTTAACATTTGAAATAAAGAAGCTTGCTAGTTTTTCTGGCGGTCCCCCACCTAACCTAACCTAACCTATCAGTTCCAGGGAAGTAAAGGACTTTCGAGTCGAATAGAAGACGGAAGTACGCGGTTCTTGAGCGGCGGTGATCGGTCCAGTTTGACTTATAAAGTAGAAGCTAGCGTAGCACCACCAGCTGCAGGGCGTAGTCGTGTTTTTGGCTCCTCAGGAGCTACTGGAGTCTGCTGGTTTAACTAGTGGACCCACACCTAACCTAACCTAAACCTTATGAAGCAAAGGCATACTTATGATATAGAGATCACTTCATGGGTGGATAGGAGTACTAGTAGGAAGAAAATGGAATAGTAATAGATAGAACTTTCATCTGATTCGTCTGTAGTGGAAACAGGTGCAACTAGAAAAAACGCACCTGGCCGCTATGCTTTAGACTTCCCGCGGCGTAATTGAGTGGAACTATTGCGGGAAATTTTAGAGCCAGGCACCAACAAAAAGAAACTGAAGGCTAATGAATGAATGAGTTGCAGGCTAATAAGACTGAACGCATGAGTGAATGGATACGATATCACTGTTACTGTTGCTGACTTTCATAGACGATTTGAGTTTACACTTCTTCCTTTCTTTCTCTTTTTTCTCTACTTCATCTATCTTCATCAAGAACAAAAGACGTAGGATAAGGTGAAAACAGTGAGGAACTTGCTAAGTCTTCATACCAACTTGTGCCTCAATTTTCAGCCTTGTTGTCGCAGTGGTCATAAACTTCTTCAAGCCTTTGAGCTTTTGTTGGCCAGCCATAAGCAGCCAGTTTAGATTTGCGTCCTAGTGTAATAACTCAAACTCTGAAAGTGCTGTATAAAGTAGATATAACACTAGGGTGGTGGAGTTGTAGTTCGGCATATACATCGAGACTATTTTTCCTTTTGCTAGGTGTATGTGTAATAGAGGAGCGCTCATGCTGTGGGAAGTGAGGGCACTAAATCTGGATAGTCATAGGGAAAAAGCGTGATAAGTACATTGCTCGCACTCGATGTTGTAGTGGAATCATTAGCGTGAGGCCATTTCGTCACGGTTAGCGTCTCTGCCTTCATCTCATTAGTACCGATTCAAATTTGTCACTCAACTAACAAGATTAAGACGAAGATACTGACTGTAGGAGATACAATCTATTAGACCATACTAGAAAGGGTAAGCTACCACTATTATTCTTTATTAGAACATAATTATAATAAAAATAAGAAAAATAGAAATCCACTAGAGTAAAAAACTACGTTTACCACCGATATCGATATGTGTTGGTCAATGGTCATTACTGGCTCAAGATCCAATGAATGAACCTGATTTCTTATACCGAACCCAAATGTTGCATTTTTTAAGTTCATTTTTACAAATATTTTACAAATATTTTAGGCAGGAGTGAAAACAAGACCCGGAACCTGACTGGGAAAAAAGTACTCATTCAGACCCCACTAGGCTCATTGTCTGGCATCTGTTTCCAGCCTGTGGATTTCCCATTTTCGCGATCGAAAACCGACTGGCTGGATTTCACTGGTAGAAAACTGTTTCTGACCTGAAGAAGTTCACTTTTTAAAAGTTGAACTCCACCCACTGGATTTCTACTTTTGGAAACTGTTTCTAGTCAGCTGCGTTTTCACTTTTAAAAACTGAACCTGACCAGGTACCTTTCTACTTTTTAAATCTGGTTTCCAATACTAGAAAAAGTAGTTTTGAAAACTGACTCCGAAGCGCTGGGATTCTGCTGCCCGGAATCGTGGGCCGCTTACTGCTGCCAGACGTTTTTTGTTGGGGAAAAGCAATGGGTTGGGGCCTGGTAGTGATTCATAGAAGTTCTCTTTTTATTTGATGGGATAGAAGAACCAGAAATGATGTGAGACGCATCATCTCAAGATATTAGCATGATGCGGATAGTGTTCTCTTATTGTATCTCCATCGGTTTCTGTATCTGGTATAGTTTGAGTTGGTGAATCTCAAGCAGATCTCGGCGCCGATAGGTCTATGGGTTTTCGTTGCCTGGAGATCGTTTCTGCTTCTAGTTTACCCCACTAGGGTCGGGCTGGTCGATCGAAGGATACGGGAGATCCGAGACGAAGGCGTTGCTGCTGCAGTGGAGGTCTCTCCGATGTGTGCCTCTACATACGGCGATGCTGCTAGCTTATCCCTATCGATGTCGCGACTAGCTTCTACACCCATGCTGCCGCTCCATTCGTTGCTGTCCTCCGTGTTGCATACGAATGATGGATAGGGAGACTATGGCCAGCATAAAAAGATAATTTGCAAAAAGATAATTTTTTGAGTTTTTAAAAAAAATTAGGTATTTTAAGTAGGTTAACTAGCTAGTTAAGGTAGGAGTCTAGTGGAGGCCGGTCGCGTGGTTCGGTGGGCAGAGCGAGCTGAAGTAGATGGACTTGAAGGCCTGGGTTGAGCCGCCTGGCTGCTGGACGGTCTGGATGGAGGTAGAAGCAGGCTCGGATGCCTGTTTGTCTGTGGAGTTGGGTCGGAACGGAGTCGAGGCGGCCATGTTCTTTTCTCTTATTTCTAGAAGGAGACGGACTTGGAGTAGAAGCGGAGCTTGAATCATGAATCTAGTGCACTACGGTGAGAGAACAAATGGAGGATGAGGGAAGCAAATTGGGCAGATTCTACAGCAGATAACTACTATGAGATCGAGAAGGAGGGGAGGAAAAACGGACAACAAACCTGCTTAGTACATTAAGGCAAAGGCGATACTTCAGTAGTGTCACATGATGAACGAAGAAGACAACTCAGACACTTGATGTAGAGGCAGAATGACTTACTTGCGACTCAAATTCTACTCGTGTCAGACGATGGCCCTCGTGGTTAAATTAGGAACAGATGCGCTAAAGATTCTCGAGCATGGGACCAAGTCCCCGTATGATAGAGCACCAATGTCGAAAGGAAATTGACTCGGTCCTGTCTCCTCATTTCTTCACTCATAACGGACAAGAAAGCCTGTACGATTTCGCTGTTCGTCCACGAGGAGACGGATCTGATTCAGCAAGCGAACATAGTGGAAGCCAGTACTTGCCTATTCAATTCAAGGCCTGCAGCAGGCGTGATTCGCCATGGTGTCGCCGAATCCGACACATCTTGAACCATAGAAAAGAGGATCTTCATGGAGTAGCATTAGTATCATTGTGCCACACAGATCTTCGTCACATCTTCTGTCATGTAGTCCACAGACGCAACAAATGCGAGGACTTTCAAGCAGACGCCGACGAGCATACATATGACGCAGCTGGACTCTGCTCTGTCTTGAAGCAGCTCTGGAGGGATGGAAATGTGATACAGGTGAGTCGAATGCCAGTGCGTCACGCATCATCAACCGAAGCACTGATCGAGAACCGAGTAAGAGAAGCACTCCAGGCATCTACTGCAGGGAGTTCTCTCAACTATATTGCAGCGGCTGCGGAGTTTTCACCAGTTGGCGGCTACCTTTACGCAATATCCGAACCGAATAAGCGATACAGCGTTCAGGAAAAGGCTCTGGCGCAGCGGTTCGCTCGAGATGGCCGGCCATTATGCTGGCGCGCCAGCATGAGAAGGCACATTATGAGTTTTAGAGTTTAGGCAAGTGATTCCAGTGGTGTTTTAGATGCAATCCTACAGCCATTATCTATTATCTCAACTAGGTCCAACGGTCTCGCTTATACGACTAAAGACGTGGCTTTCTTCCTTTTTCATCTATGTGATACAGCTGGTGGCTCGCATAGCTCTAGGATCAAGCTTCATGGGTCAGCGTTGACACCTAGTCGAGTTCTGGAGCGAGAAGGCTTTCTACGGGCAGAGCAGTACTATCATTCACCATTTTGGGCTCAGTATTCCTGTATCAGTTTCCTTTTGTTTTCCTTTATGAAATGGGTCGACTTTGTTGTGTATACACTGGAAGCATTAGGCCGAGACTATTCGCTCAGAGTTCTCTCTTTCCACTAGAAACACTATGAGAATCACTCAGCATCATCTTCCGTCTCACTTTGTCCCAACAAGTCACCAGGTCTACTGGAGGTGGAAAGACTCATATTGCGCTGCATCCTGTCGCGCCAGGTGTTTACACACCTCGCCCAGATGGAGTTCTAGAGGCTTACTATGTGCCCAACAGTTGCAACTTTTCCAAGAAGTTACTTGAGATTCTAGTCTGTGAGGAGGAGGCCTCTGGTGGTCTGAGTGCAACGCGGCATCATAAGTCTACTACGCCAGCGGATTCGGCTACTTGCTGTTTACAATAAGTGGCGTGGCTTGCAAAGTTTGGCCCTGATCAACTCAAGTGACTTATGAAGAAACTCCCACTGATGTGTGCGTTATGTATACCCCTTTCACTGTTGTGATGTATCACGTTTTCAGTTAGCAGAAAGCAGATCTCGGCACGATATAGGTGCAACAATTCTGACCGATTATACATTTCAGAAACATATAATATGACGAGAAACTACTTGACAGCCCG